TCAAAAATGCGAGTAGAACGTGCTGCGTGAAGAATTGCTGCGTGCGTGCCGCGTAAACGAGCACGGATGGTGTGAGTATAGAGGCGTTTATAATTATTTCTCGAAAATGATACTTCGGAAAACAACTTTGTCACACATGGTTGAATTCGTATTAAAATAACCTTTAATTTGGTAAAAAAAAATAATTACAAAAAATTAAAAAAAATGTTTGTTGGGGGGGATAAACAAAAATTAAGCAATAAAAAAATTATTTTAATTATAATCATAAAGTACTCTTAAAGCCATTCAACTTTTATTCGAAACATTTTTTCTATCTCTCCTAGTTTCGACGATATTTGCATTGAAATAAAAAACCAATTTTTTTTAAGAGGTGTTTCACCCCTTAAAAGCGCGAAGCGGCACGAATTTGCGGTAACTTAATTTTTGGTTTTGTCTAGAGAATAACATATCAAAAGCTCATCGAAATCGAAGGCGGATACTTGGGTCCCTTTCCTTGTAAGATAATTCGCGAACGTTTACACCGACCGTATCAAGCGATTTGATACGGATTTGGTACTTAGTACGCGTATCAAGTGCTCGGTGTAAACTAGGCCATTCGCTTCCCAAGGAGAACAGAAAAGTCAAAATAATATCAATTTGACGTCAAATTGACCGAATTTACGTCATTTTTTACATTATGATTAAAATCTAGATTTCAAATGACTAAAGAATGACTTTATATTGACTTTTTTTAATAGTGTCGATCTTTTTGATTTTTAGAAAAATGTGAACATTTCTCGATTGTATATATATGGCAAGTATTATTTTTAATTCCTTTATTTCAAACGCCATTTCGCATATACAAAATTAAGTTTTAGTAAAAATTGTAACTTCATATTTGTTAATATTTTATATGCAAACTTTATATTTATAAACAAAATATATCTTAACTAATTATACATATTCCATCTTTGTGACATCTATTAAAAAGATTTATACCATTGGTATACTTTTATTAGCAATTAATATTTATAGATCATCGGAGCATCGGTTCTCGGACGATTACAATGTTAAACACGTTTCAGGAGGTTTGGATGGGTGACTGCTTTAGAAATATCGTAAATAAGCTTCTAAATACATATTTCTTAATCACAATTTTGTTATGTATATTTTTTTTCATTCTCTAGTATATGACGGTAATTAATAAAATTTATTGTATTTAAAACAAATTTATTTTAGCAATTAAATTGGAATGGTCAAGAATACATCAAAAATTTTTGCAATTTGACATCATTTTGACAAACTAAAATTTGATCTTATTTTGATATCATTTTGATGTCATTTTGATCTTTCTGTTCTCCTTGGGTTATAGTATCAGACCAAAATAGTACGCGTATCAATAGATCCTGACGCACTGTATAAATACTTATAGTTACGTTTTCAATCGGATTAAATACGTCACTGCAATAGGTTAAAGTTGCTTTAAGATTAAAATTAGAATTAGAAGTTTTATGAAATGAAAAACCTATCATAATTACTTATTTCGAAATAAATCGGTGTAAACAGTGATGTATCAAGACTATCAAGTACTTAGTCCGCACCAACCTGATACTCGTATCAATTAATTTAATGGTGTAAACTAAGTCAGAACTTGATTGATGCCTATTATATATTAATCGTAGAGGATTATTGAATAAAACAGACGACTTTAGAATTCCCGATTTTTCACTTTTACGATTCTGCAGCTCTTTTTTAGATACCAACAAAAATTGTAAAAAAAAACGTATAGATTTTTTCAATATTTTTAAAAAGTGTTCTAATTCATATAAAAAATGTTCTAAAAAGTTATAAGATTTTATACAGAAATTCTGAAAAATAAAAAAACTTAATTAGAATTTTTTGTCATCATACATTTATATTATCAATATAGAATACAAAAAAAACTATATAGATATTTGTATCAGTATTTGTATTTGTATTTCTGAAAACGTTAATATTTCATCAGTGGTAGAAACTGTAAGATCTGTGAGGGTGAAGTCGACCGTTGCGCATCAAGTAGTCGACTTTCGCGTCATCAAGATGGCGCTCCAAGGTGCATCGCCAAGCGGAATATATTTCCCCTCGGATGCATTCTACCGGCGTGAGGCGTTTCAACGGTAGCCGGTAGCACTGTAGCGCCAGCTGCGCCAGTCGCGCGCTTGGCATCCTCGTGACGGTTTCGTTATTCGTTTCCATCTTCGAGAGTTTCGCGGCGTCAGTTATAACGGAAATTCGAGGTACGCACGCACGCACGCACGCACGCATATACACAACGCGTTTCGCTATTTTCACAAGACACGCAACGTCGTCGAAGATCTGACGACGGCTTTTATGATCTCGTAACCGGCGTCGCGTGTGTGCAAACGTGAACGAAGGAAAACGACAACGGCGTCCATCGGCGCATCTCCGAGGGGGTGAGTTTCTCGCGTTTTTGTTCCGTGTCGTACTCGCGCGCGCGCGTGCAATTCGCCGATATAAGTTTCACGTCGTAATACTAGCGGATACAAATTCGAGATCAAACTATGAGATTTGAAGATATTCATATAACTTCACTGATTGGAATCTAGTTAATATGTCGTATATAAGTAATTTTTTTTGCTTACTCTCACGAATCTATTAGCACTTCTGCGAGTTATTCTTTATCAAACAAAGAATGATTTGGCACGCGGCCTTCCAGTTATTTCAGTTGACGCGTTTTTTTCGCGGCGCATCTTGTGTTCACCGGTGAGAAGAGAAAGCGCACCGGTGACTGCTGAAAATATCAGGAAATTCTGATCCTATGGATGGCAACTATACTGTCGGCGTCTCCTCTCGCGCCGGGCGACATGTTCGGAATCGAATACATTGTTCTGCGAAATCGAATCCACGTGATCGAATCCCGTTGTTGTCGCGCGGTTTAGACCAAAAATTAGCGCAAGAGAAACCTTGCAATTAATTCCAAAAAGATAGTAATTAACACAATTAGAATTTTAGTCTAACCATTCTCAATAGACGTTAATATCATTTTTTAAATTATACGGAATACAATTCTTAATGGCGTGGACTCCATTTATTTAAATTGTACTATGTTTAACAGTTATCCTTTGTATGTGTAGAAGTTGCGCATTCAGAATTCAAAAAGGAGAGAGAGATAAAAGAAAAATCACAGAATAAGAGAAATCGCAGGAAACTAAAACTACACTTAAAGAATAGTTTTACCAAAGTATCTAAAAATTTAGCGAGAGAGAGAGAGAGAGAGATCTTAAAATAATTTTGTTAAAATATTAAAAATAATTATGTTAAACACTCAAATTGGTTGCTAGAATGTTAAAACATGTTGTGCAGTATTATTATCATGCTTGAGCATCCCACATAATTATTTTGATGATCCAACAAAATTATTTTTAAGATCTGTAGCTAGTCAAATTTTTAGATACTAGCAAAACCGTTCTTTTTGAGGCAGTTCTGAAGAAAAGAAAGACTTCTCGCACCAGGATTTTAAGATTTAATGATCGGCATGTTGAAATCACAGGAGGAAGAACGAATGTTCTATTGTAGTGCACGATCCTTCCTTTCAATTTCTAGCTGCATTCAGACGAGGAACAGCGTCGTCACGCTAGTCGTGTCGTTCTAAGCACGTTTCTGCAGAATGGATCTATACTGACCAACAGAAAGAAATGTAGACAATATTTCCATGTTAACTAATTATTACACGCTACACTAGCTTTTAATTGTCTTCATGCTGTATGTACCATGTCACGTTTACTTCATACATTGTTTAAAGTCGAAGGTAAAGAGATCCACAATTTTTTTTATTAAACTTTCTATTCTTCGATTAAGGAAAAAGCTCCTTTTCGTACTTTTCTTGGAAGAGGTACCTTTCTTCAAACAAGGTATACCTATATTATTTGAAGAGATATGGAAAACCTGGAGAGTATGTAAAATTGAAAAAATTTGGGGTACAAAATCAATCGTCAAGAAATTTGACACAGACATAGCTGATGTAAAATATGAAAAAATCTCATCTCTAACCATTTAAAATCGAATGGTTAAATAAGGATGCTGGTTGAAAATCAGAAAATGGATCCAATGGATCGTATGCCGACAGTGTCCATTTGCCACTCATACTATCTCATTTTGACAATAGAATAATCTTGTTTTTGAATGGTTCATTAAATAATCGTTTGCATGCATACTGCTTTGTTCTGAAAATATTTTTTACGTAATAAAATTAGAAAATTTTTAGGGAAATTCTTTGGAAACTTGTAAAGGTTTCTCACCAAAGTTATTCTTTCAAAAATTTTTTTTCTTTAAGAGAATACCAGAAATCTGTAATTATACCACAGTATAAGTTTTGTTTTTATTTTATTTTCAAATAAATTTTATTTACAATAAATTCAGAATTCTTGTTGTATTTTTTGTAAATAAAAAAATGTAGGTATTCAGAGTCAAATATCTATTTTATGACAATTTTCTTCTCTCCTTTTCAATACTTTCTCAAATCTGATGTTTAAAAGGAGCAATTCTTTGATCGATTGATTTGATTGATTGAAATATCAAAATATTTTCACTGTTTAAACATTAAATTTAAATATCAAAAACGATATTTTTCCTAAAAAGGTAGCAACGTCTCAATATTGTGTGAAAATCTAAAAAATGCAAGAAAGTAATAAAAATTATACGAACATTTCATATGTATTTATGTCATATAAACATTATTTTTGATAATGAAGAACATTTTAAGATTATCATCCTATATGATTGAATCTGTTTTTATGTAGTATATAGTAATCATAAAAGCAGATTCAACATTTCATACGTATTTATGTCAAAAAATTAAATATTGAATAATTATTAATAATAGTAGGTATACAAAATAGTCAATTATTCGCGCAAATAATAATGTATACAAGATAGTCAGATAGGAAATAGTCGAATGCCAAATTAATATTCAAAATTAGAATTCAAGGATTGTTCTTCTGATTGTGAGACTGTGTTCTCGTGCAATGTGTATAATATTATGCATAGAAAATTTCCTGTGTGAGGTAACCCAACTCAAAACAACGCGACGTCGGAGTTTGGCGTCATCACGACCAGACATAAACCGATCGATTGCACCGGGCTTTGAACTAGGAGATAGTCGGGGCATACGATAGTATGCATTTCTTCGTTCTGTGCAAAATGTCGAATTTGAATAATTCTATTATAAGTTTGTCGAAACTTACGTACTCGTTTCGCTTATAACAATTTATACATATGCCATAAATATCATTTGTGTGTGTGTGTGTGTGCGTGTGCGTGTGCGTATGCGTGTACGTGTGCGTGTGCGTGTGCGTG